AAATGATATGAAGGCAAACGTAACTTGAAAAAGATTATCCTTGCATAATCCATTTAAAAGCTCGCTGCATGCATGTTTCATCAGTTATCGATTATTTGTTCGATCATTATATGATCCATAATCTATTCGATAATTGCATATATCTGTTATATCTTTTCTTCATATAATTAATCGATAATATAATCAATCAAAGGATTATCAATCAAGGCATCGATTAAGTAAGTTCATCTTACTTCTGAATATCTGAATATCTGATGATTGATTCCATGTTTTTCAACTTATTGTTTCTAAGATTATCAGATACTTATCACTTGATTTGAGGAAGATTATTTTAGGTAAAGAGCCATAACGAATTTATGATGTGAAGAATCGACTTTCGTGAGAAGCTTCCAATAACTAGTTTCAACGGTCATATTCTTCAAGCCAAATAGGAAGAAAATGCTCAACAGTCAAGTACCCGATATCATCTATAAATAGAAGAGCATTCAAAACAAGAAAAGAGAAGAAGAGTTTGAGTTTACAACATCAAATGCTAAAATGCTGAATCAAGATAGTCTCATTTAGAGCTCCAAGAGAAAGCTCCCTGTCTTTGTACTTCATAGACTAAAACTTATGTATTCGTAAGATAGAGATGAGAGTTTCCCAGACGTGCTTAAGATTTATCTATCACTTCTTTGAGAGAAGAAATATTCAATCTTCTTTATCATTATCAGATTGTATCCTTACGGTGTGTAAGGGGAAGTATTTACCTCAGTGAGAGGTTGTTGTTGAATAGACTGATTAGTCTAAGAATTGTAAGTAGCGTCACAAGTACCCGGATCAAACTTGTAGTTGTAGTGGTTCTCAAGTACCCGTGTTAAACTTGAGAGCGATAGTTGATTGAAAATCTCAGGGGGAGCCTAAGAACTGGACGTAGGTCAGTGAAGACCGAACTAGGATAAATCACAGTTTGCATCTTCTCTTCCCTTACCTTTTTATATTTCCAGTTAAACCATTTTACTGCTGTGATTATGCTTATGTCGATTTATTATTTTTATACTCAGAATTTCTCATGAATTTCATTACATTGCGAGAAGGTTTTTAATTTTAACTAACACTTAATTCACCCCCTCTCTTAAGTGTTTAGCCATTCTTACAGAATAGCGGAGTTAGAACATGTACTGAATCCTTCTTTGCTTTCTTTCAAATATTGACCAAGAATAGCGGAGTTAGAGTAGATTTTACATTCTATTTTGATATTACAAGTTAGAAAGATTAAGGAAACATTAAAAAGAAACTCCTCAACATGTCTAATCTGATCTTCAAAAGCACAGAAAACCACATGAAGATACCTTGCTAATGCTAAATAATGAGGCATTTTGTGTAGGCCTCAGTCGGGAATCTCTCAATAGGTTTATATGCTTGGTCTTGCAATCTCCTACTCAGCAGTGCCAAGCAGAAAAGGTAACCCACTGTCCAGAGATTAGTATGTAAGCTTAAGAGGATGTTTGGATAAAACCAAACCAGGTTTTGGAAAATAATTTCTTGAGAAAAAAATTATTTTTAAGAATAAATTTTGGAAGAATAAATAATGTAAAAAGTGATTATGATAAAATGATAGTATTTAGGTAGTTGTTAACAAGAACACTTTTTATATATGCATATTACTAAATAAAAACATAAGTTAATATAATAATTACATAAAAGATTGATTTTATAATATATTTTTATTTGAAGTAATAAGTTTGTTAATAATATATTTTTTGCCAATATAATAAATAATTAATATGTGTATATGTATTTATAAAGTATAAGATTAAATATGTTTTTAGAAAAATATTTTTTTTAGCTGAATAGAAAATATTATTTTACTTTAAAAATTTTAAACATAAAATCTTATAATATTTTTTGCTTGAAGAGAAAAAACGAAGCTTTTGAATGTGATGGGTATTTTTGTCCAAATATCGTTGGCCAACTTCTCAACTTCTGACAAGAGATACTCTTTGCTGCAGCAATCCTATTTTCACTCCCAAATGCGAAATATTTTAGCTTAACCATGGTGTTGAGGAGGCCAAAACAACGATTTTGAACCAAGCTAAGGTTTTATTAAAAAAAATAAAATAAAATTGAGGTGTTTAGATTTTTTTTTTGGGTGAAATCATGATTTGGAGTCCAAAAACACTTTTTATCAATTTGCCATACGCTCCATAAATGTTTCGCTCACCCCCCCCCCCGCAAGTTTTTCTTTCCAGCATGAATGTTTCCCTCTCAATCCTTTTTACAATATTTTTTTATCCCTTTTGATTTTTCTTTGATTTGATGGCAGGTTTTTTCTCTACCCCAAAAGCTCGGTCTATTTTATTAAATGATGTTGTAAGGAGAGGGAAACGATTAATTCCACCTTCTTCATTTGAAATATTGATGCGAGTTACCTTCCCTCTATCTTCAACTAGAGTAAAAGAACATCTCTTTCACTTCGAGAAAACGGAAGATCAGAGCTTTACTCTGTAGGATGGGCCTTAGGTGTTTGATAATTTATTGTTTCACACAATCCAAACCCATATTGAATTAGGATGTGAATATGTGATGCCTAATTACAGGTGCATTTGTTATTTTTCTAAAGGTTGTACTCCTCCGGTCCTAATTATAAGACCCAATTGACTTATTTGAGGAGATTAAGGAAGTAAGTTAAGTTGGTTATTTATAATAAATAAGTGTTGTTATTCCTAAAATATCCTTGCTAATTAAGTATATTGGCTAAAACTATCATTATTAGAAGGATTATCTTGGAAAAAAATGCATAAATATAAGAGAGAAAATGGATTGGGTCTTATAATTAGGACCAAATAAAAAGTCAAATTGGGTCTTATAATAAGGACCGGAGGAGTAATGTATAAGAACGAGCCGTAAATTGCTATTCCTCAAGGTGATTGGAAAGTCGTTAATAGCTTGTCAAGGTTAAGAACTCTGCAGTCGCAATTTGTTAAATACTACCTCCGGTTTGAATTATAAGAGCTAGTTGACTAATTTGAAAAGATTAAGAAAGTAAGTTGAGTTAGTTATTTATCCTAAATAAGTGTTGTTTTTCCTAAAATATTCTTGCTGATCAAATGTATTGACTAAAACTATCATTGTTAGAATGACTATTTTAAAAAAAAATGTATAAATATGAGAGACAAAGTGGATTAAAGTCTTATATTTATGACCAAAATAAAAGTCAAATAGGATCTTATACGAAGGATCGAAAGTAGTACTCCTCCGGTCCTAATTATAAGACCCAATTAACTTATTTGAGGAGATTAAGGAAGTAAGTTAAGTTGGTTATTTATAATAAATAAGTGTTGTTATTCCTAAAATATCCTTGCTAATTAAGTATATTGGCTAAAACTATCATTATTAGAAGGATTATCTTGGAAAAAAATGCATAAATATAAGAGAGAAAATGGATTGGGTCTTATAATTAGGACCAAATAAAAAGTCAAATTGGGTCTTATAATAAGGATCGGAGGAGTATTAAAAGTACCATTGCTTGTTGTAAATTACTGATTCGAAATTGGTCAAATCGATTGAAAGTTGTTAATAACTTATCAAGTTTAAAAGTTTTATCATTGCAGTAGTAGTGCTCAGTCTTATTTTGCCAAGCATGTTGCAGATTACTCTCTCAAATAAATAAAATTGATTGACAAGTCAAATTTTGTAATGGTGACAAGAGGCCTGAATTCTTACTTTTTCAAATATGTACGGTATAATATCTTATTGTAAATTGGTCATCCAAAACGGGTAAAATTATTGAAAAAATGCTAATAACATCCCAAGGTAGGAACTTGGAAATTGCAATAACAAGTCTAATTTTTATTTTCCAAGTATGTAAGGTAAAGTAGTAGTGTGTTGTAAATTGATAATCAAAATGACTAAAATTGACTGAAAAGTTGTTATAGGGTATAGTATTGTGTTCCAAATTGATAATCCAAAATGAGTAAAATTGATTGAAAAATTGTTAATGGCTTCTCAAATTTAGGAACTTTGCAATTGTAATAACAAGTTTGATTCTTATTTTGTAATGTACAATCATATGTTACAAATGGCTAATTCAAAATGATTAAAGACCTATTCAAGAATTGTTAATAACTACTGAACTCAGGCAATGGGTAAAATCCAAAGAATATTAGTGAACTTTATTCAAACAACATTAGTGAATTTTCACTTCAGTGTAAGTGATTAATCTAAAACGGTTAAAATGGAGCATCTTATGAAGTAAGGGAGTGTTTGGATAAAAAACAAACTATGATTTTAAAAGTGTTTTTACAGTATACGAAGTAAATATATAGAGGAGTTTGTCTCGTTTTAGAGAAAAATCACATTTTACATGTCACCAAACACTCAGTAAATATATGAAGAAATTTATCTCGATTTATAAAAACAAGTTCTTTTAAAAAAACATTTTTGTAGCTTCCCAAATACTCCCAAAAAATATGTAAAAAGAATTTTCTCTTTACTTATGTAAAAATACTTTTTAAAATGATATCAAACTCTCCCAAATAAAAATGATACTAATCCTTATACCCAAAAAAAAAACATTAATCCTCTATTTTATTATAAAATGAGTTTTATGTTGACTAATTTGAAGGGATTAAAGAAGTAAGTTGAGTTAGTTATTTATTCTAAATATGTGTTGTTTTTCCTAAAATATTCTTGCTAATCAAATGTATTAATTAGAAATATAATTATTAGAAGGATTATCTTAAAAAATTGAGTAAATACGAGAAACAAAGTGAATTAGAGTCTTATATTTAAAACTAAAATAAAAATAAAACAGCGTCTTGTATTGACAACGGGAGGTAGTATTAAAAATATTTTTTCGGAAAAACAAAGGCGACCTTCCATTCCTAGGCTCGCAGTAGCAGCCGGCGTCCGGAGATAGCGGAGGACTTTTTGTGGCGAGCGATTGTAATTTTCTGGCGTCTGGTTCTTCACAGTCCCATTGTCCCCTTCCTCCTCAAAGCATATCTCAATTCCTGATAATGAACATGCTGTTCTGTAAAACTACAAGGTACGCCTTCCTCAGACATTTTTCCCATTCGCCAACTCCTAGGAGCATTGAAGAGGCTATCTCTTCATTTCATGGCTTGCTTCATATGAATCCCCAACCGTCTATAGTCCGTATTAATAAGATTCTAGGATCTGTCGCGAAGACGAAGCATCACCGAACTGCTATTTCCCTTTTCTCAAAAGCAGAATGCAAGGGATTCTCGCCATGTTTGGTTACTCTAAACATCTTGATCAATTGTCACTGTCATTTGGGTAACATGCCTTCTGCTTTCTCTATTCTAGGGAGGATTCTCAAGATGGGCTGTCAGCCAGATATAATAACTTTGAATACTCTGTTGAAAGGTCTCTGCATTAATAATAACGTTAGAGAAGCCCTTGTCTTTCATAGTGACTTATTGACAAAAGGATTTCACTTAGATGAGGTAAGCTATGGCATCCTGATTAATGGCTTCTGTAAAATTGGAAAAACGTCTGCTGCTCTTGAATTGCTTCGAAAGATGGAGAGAGGGTTGGTTAAGCCTGATTTAGTTATCTACAACACAGTCATAGATGGTCTTTGTAAAGAAGGGCTTGCAATTGAGGCAAAAAAATTATATCATGAAATGACTGATAAGGGAATATCTCGGGACATTGTTACCTACAACTCTCTAATATATGGTTTCTGTTGCATGGATCAATGGCACGAAGCCACTTGGTTTCTAAATAAAATGGTGGTGGAAGGCATCAGACCTAGTATTTATACCTTTTCTATATTGAGAGATGCATTTAGCAAAGAGGGGAGGATAACCAAAGCTGAGGCAATAGTTGGGAGGATGATGAAATGTGATACAAAGTCTAATGTTATTACTTACAATGCTTTAATGGATGGGTACTCTATGATGAATAATGTTGATGAGTCGAAGAAGGTTCTTAATAGAATGAAAAGTGATGTGTTGCCTGATGTTTTCAGTTACACTATCTTGATTAATGGGTTATGTAAAATGAAGAGGATTGGTGAAGCCATGGATCTCTTTCAAGAAATGCAATGCAAAGGTTTGTTTCCTAATATTGTGACATATAATACTCTTATTGATGGCCTGTTCAAATCAGGAAAGATCTCAAACGTGCAGGAACTTATTTACGATATGCATGATAGTGGTCATCTACCAAATATAGTAACCTACAATGCCTTGTTGGATGGATTGTGCAAGAGCCAGCGTCCTGATGAAGCAGTTATGCTATTTAAAAAAATGGGCGTCCTAGGAAAACAACCTGATATTTACACACATGCCATTCTTATTGGTGGTTTGTGCAAGGATGGTAAATTAAATACTGCCCGACAAGTTTTTCAGTATCTATTGGCTAATGGTCATCCTCCAGATGTCCAAGCATATACTGCTATGATTAATGGACTCTGCAAAGAGGGCTTGTTTGATGAGGGACGGGCGTTACTTTTTCAAATGATTGACAATGGGTGCCTCCCAAATTTGGTAACTTTTAAAACAGTGATTGGAGCTCTTTTGGAGAAAGGTGAGAATGATAAGGCGGAGAATATTCTTCATGAAATAGTTGCTAGAGGTCTTCAAAGACGATAAAAGAAAGCTAGATACTTGTTTTCATGTTGAAATTTGTTGAAATATTGAACGAATGCAATGTCTGACAGCAGCTGAAATTTAAAGGCAATTAAAGTTGTTTTCACTTTTTATTTCAGTATCAGCCATGGTTGTCGTTGAGTCCCCTAGTTCATTTGATTGTCTTTGCCTTGCTGATACAGGTAGGCAGCATATGCCACTGATGATTATTTTCGGGGTTCATTCTCCCATCCCATCCTCTTTGTTATGTTTAGAAGCAAAACTACTTGAAATGTTGTGAAAATCTATCTCTTTTCTGTCGATTTATGGCTGTCTTCCTGTTATTTTGTTTCTGTTCCTAACATCTGTATCTAGTAAGTTACGGCATATATTCGTTGTAGTTTATGGTGGGGAAATAAAACACTGCAAATTTCTTTGTTAATCTCGGTCCATAAGATGCTATTTTTGTGGTTTTTTCAGCTCTTTTGTAGTTGGGATAAGTTCACATGTAAAACTGAGATTAATTGGATAGAAACCAAACCATGGTTTCAGAAGTGCTTTTACAGATTACGAAGTAAATATGTGGATGAGGTTGTCTTGTTTTGCGGAAAAGTGATTCTGAAACCGTGGTTTTGGTTTTGCCAAACACCCAGCTTAGACACTTTTTCCTTGAAATGTTTTGTTTTTTTAACCATGTCCAAACTCAGAAAAAACAGTTGAAAATTTTGCCTTTTGAGTTTGACATGTGCGGCTTACGGATTTAATTCGAAACACTGGTGTTGAAGTTTTTTAGACATTCAGTTGCAATGTAAATATGTCTGGACATTTGGATCAGTTCAACTTTTATCCTGTATCCAAGCAAGTGTCCAAGAAGAAGAATGCATGTCAACATCACAGATTGTATAGATGAGCAAGTACTCTAGCGTATGCAATTGCCGATGAACACAACAACAACGTAGGTGTTAGAGTTATTGCCCCTTGGAAGGGTCCCTAGACGGCTCAAATCCGGATTAGTCTAGGTCCTTGGAGTTCTGAAGAACAAGGTTGGCCTGAGATACTGAGTGCACTTCACAAAAATAAAAATGTTGGCGAACACAATGATGATGGATTACACAGTTCATTGAAATGTTTGTATTTATACCAATGTTCACACTCTAGAACAGATGAAAACAAAAAGGTTGCCATTTTATCTTGTGATAGACCAATATAAGTTTATGGGAGATGAATGAACTTTGATCCTCTCACTTGAAAGGTTTCTATACCCTATTTTAACTTCATATCCGGTTGCCCACTTTAATTGATGGTCTTTGGAAAGGTCTTCTTATTGGAGCAAAAAATTTGCATCATGAAATGACTATTAGAGGAATAACTTCTAATATTGTTACATATACCATTCTGATGCATGAATTAATGGCAAGAAGCCACGTGGTTGCTCAATAAAATGGTGCTACAAAGCATCAAGCCTTGTATTTATGTCTTTAATATATTGGAGGATGCATTTTCTAATACAAAGGAAGGATAACCATATGGCTGCAGTTTCTATTATAAGGGAAAACATGTTAAAAATACTTATGCTTTTTCTCAATTTTTAATTTGGTATCTATATATTTTTTTAAAATTAAATATTTAATTTTGCTCTATTAACATTAATCCTTGTATGTAGACTAATAATAACAGGAGAGCAAGATTGTAAGAGTGAATGTTGTTAAAAAAAATTAAAATTAAATGATTTAGTTATGAGGAAAAAATCATATAGATATTAAATTAAAGAAAAATTTTGGTGAAACTATTAAATTAAAAATTAAAAATTAAAACAAGGTATATGTACCTCCAATACGGTTTTGCTTTTTGAAACGTGGTCAAATAGTTAATATAATTACTTTTTTTGCTTTAATGGATGGGTACAATTGGATCAGTAACGTTTGATGAGTTACATTGCATAAAATGATCAATAGGGATCTATTACACTCTTCTGGTTCTAAATATAAGATCAGTTTTGTAGTGTAAATTATACTACAAAAAGAGTTTTATATTTAAGACTGGAGAAATAGTATGGGTTTTGACAACAATTGATAAGTAAATAACAACAATTTTTATGAATGGGTCTTTGTATTAATTTTTTCATTTCTAAGATCTCTTTTTGCCATTTTCCCTATTTTTAATGACAATATATTGATTAATGGGTTGCATCATGATGGCATGTGTAAATAACCATATGCTAGATAACTATAATATCTTGTTGGATGGATTATGCAAGAGCCATGGTCTTAACGAGATAGTTGCTCTCTTTTTAAGAGTTTGACTTTAATATTTCCATTACAATGAAAAAATTTTAAATAATAAATAAATGAAAATTAGTGGAATTTGATTTGGTTTGAGTAATTTAAATTGGGAAAAAAAGAGAGAGCGACAGCGAGATAAATGAAATTAAAAAATAATCTTCATTGAGAGACAATATTAATATGTAATCTACATCAATTCATTTTGCTCTTTCTACGAGTCGCTTATATTTTATGAATAAGATAATTTGTAATAAAAATTGAAAAGAATCAAATCAATAATTTCTATTTCCGTTGATAAAATTCAATGGTCCTGATAAACCTGAACATATCAAATAAGGGTCAAGTTGTATTTATTCGTCTCATAATTTTTTAAGAGCACCCAATATTTTAAACTAATTTTTGATACGTTCAACATCTTAATGGGAGTTGCTAAATAAAAAGACGAATTACAATGAGGTCCCAAACAAATAAAACAATTGAAAAACAAGTCTCAGATATTGTTATTTCTACTGTAGGACTTGTCATTATAGGTGCTCAGGTTGTTATTGAAACTTTTTAGTAATTATTTCTCTTTTATGGAACTTGATTGCAATTCTCTCTTAAATAAAATGGTGCTACAAAGCTTCAAGCCTTGTATCTATGTCTTTAACGTATTGGAGGATGCATTTTGTAAAACAAGGGAAGGATAAGCGCATGGCTGTAGTTTCCATTATAAGGGAAAACATGTTAAAACTACTTATGCTTTTCTCAATTTTTAATTTGGTATCTACATATTTTTTTAAATTAAATTTTTAATGTTGCTCTATTAACATTAATCCTTGTATGGAGACTAATAATACCGGTAGAGAAAAATTGTAAGAGTTTAAAAAATTAAAATTAAATGACTTAGTTATGAGGGAAAAAAACACAGATAATAAATTAAAGAAAATTTTTGGTGAAAGTATTAAATTAAAAATTAAAAGAAGGTATATGTACTGCCGGTATGGTTTTGCTCTTGAAACGTGTTCAAATGGTTAATATAATTACTTTCTTTGCTTTAATGGATGGGTACAATTGGATCAATAATGTTTGATGAGTTACATTGCATAAAATGATCAAGGTTAAGGAGCGCCTAGCATCTCAACTATTTTTTTAGATGCGTCCAGTGTTTTAAAGTAATTTTCAGTGCATTCATTGTCTCAAACTAATGAAAACAGTATGTTCATATCTCAAGCTAACAAAAAAATTAAATTTGACCGTTACCTTGCTAACTCAGCCGAAGATTGACTCAAAAATCCTACATGATGGACACATAGGCGTCTGATGTGTATTATTTTGACGGGTTAAAGTGTGCCCAACGGCCCGAACTATTTTTCTAGGTGCACTAAGTGTCCTAAAGTAATTTTTTGGTGCATCTAATGTCCCAAACTAATTAAAATGGTGCGTTCGTATCCCAAGCTAACAGAAAAGTTAAATTTGATCGTTACCTTGCTGACTCAATTGAAGATTGATCGAAAAATCCTACATAGCAGACATGCAAGCGTCTAATATGTATTATTTTGATTAAAGCTCCCGAGACGAGCCCGGTGGCGGCGGGTGTTTTCTTGGGAGGCGACGGCGATGTCAACAGAGTGACCAAGGGGAAGTTTACTGTGTTCTACGAGGAGGAAAGAAAATGCGAGTCAGATGAGAAGTTGACAAAGACAGAGATGAAAGTGTGTTGTGACAGCAGTTGCAGTTTCAAATCAAAGTGATGAAAGAAATGGGATAAAATGTTAAACACCAGGATGTGATTGAATAGGTGGTACATGTACCGGGATTTAAGAGGATGGATCTGTAACATCCTGAGTTTTAATAGCCCTTTAACCTTGATTTTTTAGGATAATTGGTGTTTAAACTTGAATCTTGGTGTCTAGTTTAGGATCAAAGTGAGCTGGAGGAGCAAGTGAACAAATCCCTCTCAGGATTTGTTTGTCGTGATAAAGTTTCACTTCGTCCCAGTGAAACAAAGAGTTTTGGGGAGAGCTTTCTTTCGGGAATAGGTTTTCGTCACGACTAAGTTAAGGGGGAGTCGTGACGAAAGGCGTCAGGTGAGCAAGAGTTCCTTTCAAGAAAAAGTGATTGCCGCTACGAAATGGGCTTTTGGCTGCAATGAGCTTGGGTCTCTCGGTTAGAAGATCCCTCTTGGGATTAGTTAGTCGCAACCAATCACTAGGTTCGTCGCGACAAAAAGGTCGCGTCCTTAAATCCAGAGGAAGGGTCTGATGTGCAAAAAATAGAAAATCTGAAGGAGGGAAGTAGTGCTCTGCTAGGGCTTAGCATTTTTGGCTTGGGGAAGGTGTTTCTAAGGGTCCATTGCCTCAAATAAGTGAATTTAACCCCTAATCTACTCTTTCTCTTAGGATTTTTGAGGATTTTATAAAAGAATTCTAGGGCTTTCTAGTTTCTGATAGAATTGAGGTTTTTGACCGATTGTTTTGAGTTTAAATGATTATTATGGGCTAGTCTAAGTATTTAATCCGTGTAGTTTTCTTGAATTTGGAGATTTGGAAGTTTTGGGAATTTGGGGTTTGTGAAAGTGAAGGTTTATGATTGAGGATGATAATGTAGTGGTTGAAATTGAGTTTTGCAAATTGAGTTATGTTAAGAAAGGTTAAATTGGATGTTTAATTGGTTTAGAATGTTAGTAAGACTTGATTTTGCTCTAATTAGATGTTTGGGTGATGAATTTCTAGAGTAGGACTTGAGTTTCTAAATTCAATTGAGGTTTTGGAAGGAAAGCTAGAGTTTTAATGGTCTCTTGTGGTTTTGGGATGTTATTGTGATGATTTTGGCCCTTGTGAGTTGGGTAGAATTTTAGTTGAGGCTAAGAATTTTGAGTCCCCGATTGTTGTGTTGACTATTTTATTAGTTTGAAAACTAATAATTGGTGGTTGTGTGTTTGTGTGCTTGTGTAGACTGGTTGTAAGTCTTGTTGGTGCACGAGACATTGTTGGTGTTTTGTTATTCCTTACTAAGGCGAGAGATAACCATTTTCTAATCCTTTGTATATACTATCACGGTACTGTCAGTAGATTTATGTTTGTGCATCGAGTAATAAATGGTATTCTAAATGAATTTTTGTATATCAAAAAGGGAGAGTTGTCCTGTGGGGTTTTGTACAATACTGAATGCATTGGGAATTTTCTGAAAGATATGCCACTCATTCAAGTTACTTGTGGATTGGTATATATATATATATACTCTTCAGTAAAGATGTTTGAGCATGATGCATGAATTGGGAATTGGTGAGGGACTTGGTTGTTACTATCACGTGGTAAGGCCTCCATTAATGTATGATGGTTGGCTCTTTACGTCCCCTATAGTGAGGGATAGGCCTTTTGGCTCCTTACATGCCCCATAGTGAGGATAGGCCGGGTTCGGCTCTTGAAAATCCCCTAACGTGAGGGATTTGGTAATGGGTTGTATCGTCGCACTTGCATGACTTGTTGTAGCTATCGTTTCTATTATTACTTGTTAACTGCCCCACTTGACACCTCACGAGCACCTAATAGTTTGTACCCTGAATTGGAAAGGTTGGTTACTGGGACTTTTGTCTCACTCTATGGTTTACAATATTTTCATGTGAGAGTTCTATGCGTGCACCGTTGGGAAGGGATGCAGAGGCTTGAGCGCTTAGCTTTATGCCTCTGGCCTGTGGCACATGTATGACTAGCTGTATATTATCACATTTAGGGTCTTTTTGAAATATTTTGATTTTCTAGCCTTACTGTGAACTGGAAAAAGTGTTATTTCCTTATCTTTGTTGGCCGGAGGCCGTTCTTCTTATTGTACAAAATACTGAATTTATGTTCTTATGGATAAGTATATGAGCTTTTGCGTGATTCTCTGTCTACCCAAGCCTGAGGCTCGGAGGCCCAACTGAATGAACTGTTTGAAGGAATGAGTGAAAGATCTTTAGTTGCATGCAACTTGTTTGGGTTTCTATCCATAGTTTAATTGTTAGTTTTAAAATGTTTACACGTTTTTTTTTCTACTATGGTAGATTGTATAACAGTTTTCTTTTTCTACCATAGTAGTGGGTTATATGCTAAGTTTTTCATGTTTTGAGGAAGGGAATTTTACAGGATCAATGGTCTTTTTTTTTTAAAAAAAAAAACCACTAGAAGATAAACATTAGAAAAGGAGGAAATAAATTGAATTTTCAGTCAAAATAATACACATCGGATACCTGTGTGTCCACCATGTAGGATTTTTCTGTCAACCTTCAGCTGAGTCGGCAAGATAACAGTCAAATTTAACTTTTCTATTAGCCTGAAATATGGATGCAATGTTTTAATTATTTTTGGACATTGGATGTACCAAAAATTATTTTAGGATACTGGGCGCACCTGGAAAAATAGTTCAAGTTGTTAAGCGCATCTTAACCCGTCAAAATAATACACATCATATGCCTGCGTGTTCGCCATGTAGGATTTGTGGGTCACCCTTTGGCTAAGTCGACAAGGTAACGATAAAACTTAACTTTTCTATTAGTTTGGAATATGAATGCACCGTTTTAATTAGTTTTGGACACTGGATGCATCGGAAATTAAAAATAGTTTGGGGTGTTGGGTGCACTTTAACCCAATGATAAAAAGTGATGTGGCTCCTAATATTTTTAAGAAAAAATCACAAAAAGATGTTAAAAATAGAAAAATTATAAATATAAACCCATTACAATATTAGTATGGGTTTTGACAACAATTGATAAGTAAATAACAATAATTTTTATTAACAAATCTCTATATTAATTTTTTAATTTCTAAGGTCTCTTTTCTACGATTTTCTATTTTTAATGACAATATCTTGATTAATGGGCTGCGTCAAGTTAATTATCCATGGCATGTATAAATAACAATATGCTAGATATAGTAACTATAGGATCTTGTTGGATGGATTATGCCAAAGCCATGGTCTTAACTAGATAGTTACTCTTCTTTAAAAAGTTTGACTTTAATATTTCTATTACAATGACAAAATTTTAAATAATAAATAAATGAAAATGATTGGAATTTGATTTGGTTTGAGTAATTTAAATTGGGAAAAAAAGAGAGAGCGAGAGCGAGATAAATGAAATAAAAGATAATCTTCATTGAGAGACAATATTAATATGTAATTTACATCAACTCATTTTGCTCTTTCTACTTGTTGCTTATATTTTATGAATAAGATAATTTATAATAAAAATTGAAAAGAATCAAATCAATAATTTTTATTTCCGTTAATAAAATTCAATGGTCCTGATAAACCTGGTCAAGTTGTATTTATTCGTCTCATATATTTTTTAAGAGCACCCAATATTTTAAACTAATTTTTGATATGTTCAACATCTTAAAATATTTTTTTTAGTACTCCTCCGGTCCTTAATATAAGACCCATTTAACTAATTTGATTAGATTAAGGAAGTTAGGTAAGTTAGTTAATTATAAAAAAAGTGACACATTTTTCCTAAAACACCATAATCATCTTTTTTAATACCCCCTCTTCCTCTTTTACTTGATTATGGTTGAGGAAGTATTCATAGGGGTAATTTAGAGAAAATTGATAAATATGAGAAAGGGCTCTTATATTTAGGACCAAAACTAACTCAAGAATTGGGTCCTATATTAAGGACCGGAGGAGTAATACATATTATTCTAAAATAATTTTTTTAATATAATTTTAGTCTGGAAATATTCCTCTCGACAGCCACAAACATTCCAAACTTACGATGCATAATGTAGCTGAAACAATAATATATTTACACAAAATTACCGATGGTGAACATGCTTTTCGGTATAGCTACAAGGTATGCATCTCCCAATTTCTTGAATAATATAGTTGATTTAATATTAAAACAAATTTAAGAGTTGTTAATACCTAACGAAGCTCAGGTGAACTTCATCCAAACAATTTTAATAAATTTTCAATCTAATATAAATGATTAATCTAAAACGGTTAAAACAGAACATCTCTAAATCATTCAATCATTTAATATCTTCTAGGTCTTTTGTTGTCATTTTACTAATAAATTATCACTAAAAAATTTTTTGAGATAGAAGTATTTATTTTTTATTAAAAAAGAGGAAATTCTAACCAAAAGTTTGAAATAAAAACCAAAATGCTAAAAGAGGCAGAAGGATGCCTTCGTCGCCAGAAAACAGAACCACCGAAAATCAAGTCCGAAATAAGGGATGGCGGTTCAAAGGGCCATTCTAATGGTCCCATCCCTTTTGAGAAACCATATGCTACCATAAGAGCAAACTTATCACCACGCAACTGCCGTCGTGTAGGAAGAAACACCACCACTAACAACGACAATGCATTAATCCGGTGAGACTTCAACCTGAGTGACTAACTCCCAGGAAAGAACCTATATTTCATTGCTAGCCAGACCAGATCGGAGTGAATGGAACTAGAAAACATACCAAATCGAGGTCTTCATTATGAGATATACTAAAACTTGAGGGTCGCCGGCCTGCGCGTTGTTCTCTGTTCATCGCAGTATTGCTGTTAATATGAGTGGTCTTGTTTGATTATTGCTAATATAGATAGGCAAGCCCTTCTTTTTAATTGGATGAACATATAGGCAACTTTTGTGGCTGATCTTTATTCAAAAGGTTCATCCCCTCATTCTATCCTCTTTTTTATATTACTTCTGATTCTAATTATAAAAGCTAGTTGATTAATTTGAAGAGATTGAGGAAAGAAGTTAAGTTAATCATTTGTAATAAATAGATATTGTCTTTCCTAAAATACCCTAACTAGTCAAGTGTATTGGCCAGAACTACCATTATTAGAAGGACTATTGGGAAAAAATACATAAATATGAGAGACAAAGTGGATCAGGATCTCATATTTAGGATTAAAATAAAAGTCATACAAAGTTTTATATTAAGGACGGAGGTAGTATATATTTAGAAGCAATACTATTTCTTATTTAAAAAAGCAAAACTGTTTCAAATGTTGTGAAAATCTATCATTTTGTTATAGGTCTGGGGATGAAAGCCTTTTGGAGAGAGATTAGATGTCCTTTTT